GGGAACGTTGGAGTCCGCCGTCACTGGAGCAAGCAAGCCTCCCTGTTCGCTTCAGTGCATGGCTGCCGGCCGCCATCTTGGCTGACAGTTAATTTGCATAAGGATATGCTGATTAGCCAATGGGAAGGGTAGCGGTCGTACGCTAATTACCATGTTTCTCTTTTATTAGTGTAGATAAGGAAGAAAGCCCAGAAGGAATAGGAGGACCATGAGGGAGGAGGGCCTCAGGAGTCACTACAGTAACCCATTGGAAAGGGAATATTGACCAATCAGAAGGGATGTCAGGACACAGGAACTACAACCTTTATAAACCATGGAAACAGGAAGTTGGTGGGACCCTTTCCCCCTCTCAATAAGAGACTCTTCCCCTTTCCCCACGAGGGAGTCTGTAGTTGTCTCTATATATAAAACCCTAATATGCAAATAGACCAAACAGCAGAACAACCGGTCGCTATGACATGCGCTGACCACCAGGGGGTGGGTGTGGAATATGGCAGGCGTTGGCAGCAGGTGGCAGAGCGTGGAACATGGCAGGCGTCAGCTGCAACGGGATGGTGGAGCAGGTGAGCGGGGGCACCAGACCAAGGCAGGGTGCCAGTCTTTGTCATCAGGGAGAGCCTCTGGTAGTTACTGAAAATTCTTTGCTCCCATGCGCCACGGTCCCATTGCTCAGCGCTGTCAATGTTTGCCAGTGGCAGCTGCTGGTCCTGATCACCCCTGAGGGCTTCTCCACCTCCCCCTGCTCCTGAGGGGTGATTGAGGTAGTAGCTGCCACTTGCACCCACCAATGGAGCTGGCCCCGTTTGCACCCGTTGCTGGTGCCAGCCCCAGTCGCTCCACACTGTCAGCTGGTGCGAGTGGGGCTGACACTGTCAGCATGTGGGACTGGTGACAGGAGTGGGGCTGCCAGCAGACAGGGGACCGGGGGCTGCAGTGGGAGGGGTCGGGTGGGGGTGCAAGGGATGGGCTGAGATCTGCCCCTGTGCCCATCGCAGCCTCATGACCCACAGTTCCTTTCAATGTGCATGAATTCATGCACTGGGCCTCTAGTTCTTCAATAAATCTCCACCTTTGCTATACTACCCTCTGTCCTTGGATTCATTCTTCGACTCCGGCGGGCAAGGACAAAGATTCCGGGTGCCAGTCCAAAAATTCCATTTCACTTTCATTTCTTAATTGCATTTTCATTTTTGTTAGTGAGTTCCCTTTTTCAATTACCCACTGTTATAAGATGGTTTATCACTGAGAAACAAGCAGCCGATGCCCCTACACACTTTATTGTCTGGGGGTGAATAACAGACAGATGTGCAGGGTCCAACCGGTAACAGACTGAAAGAAGTGACATCACTGGTCATGGTCTTGCTGTGCATCTTATTTACATGGAGATTTGTGGACTGAAGAGCTAGCAGCGAGGTTTATACTTTATGCAGTTGCTCACAGTTATCATGGTAACTGAAGTCCAAACCATTTTCAGGGGGAATGTGTTATTTAATAAGCTATTGCGGCCAAAATTAATGCATGACAGAACTGATGCAAGGCGAGGCCTGCCTTAAACTATTTTTCCTCAGTTGTAACTATTCAGGGTGGGGGTGGGGGGAGGATACTGGCAACTAAATGCTCTTTTTTTTCTTTTCAAACAGAATATGGCAAAAGGGAGTCTTGATGGAGTGGGGGAGGGGAGACAGCTTCTTATCTGATGGGAGCAAACAACAAAGTTGGAGGCAGCAGGAACCCCTAGAGTCTGGTGTGGGGCCTTCGTTGTATCCAGTCAGCAATGGCAGGGATGGCTTGGACTTTCTTCCGTAATGCCACCAGCCTGGGATGGATGTCCAACAAGTCAGGTTTCAAGACCAAAAGGGTAGTGCTGCAAATTTCCCAGTAGAAATCTGCCCAAGTTACCTGATTTAAAGGAAACAGAAATTTCCATTTGAATGTAAAAGGCATAACTAACTTCTTAATCTAAAAAATAGTTTCTTTTTAATTCAAAGTAATCTTTTGTTATTACAAAAGTGGAATGTGTGTGAGACAGTATAGGGGTCACATCTGAACTCCATCTTAGAGGCCCGACTATGACGTCTTGGTTTCAGTAAAATTCTGTAGTTAAAATTAACCTGACCACATCCTCAAAGGAATGATTGTACGACGATAACATCCTTTCTTAACATCAGATTCTGCAAAGTAGTTGTTTTGTCAATTAAATGGTAACTAGAATGTTTGTTCAAGCATTATTATGGGCCCACTGACCATAGAAAACATCCTGTGGCCCGGTGGGCGTGGCTCAGTGGTTGAGCATCGACCTATGAACCAGGAGGTCACATTGATTCCCAGTCAGGGCACATGCCCGGGTTGCGGGCTTGATCCCCAGTAGGGGGACGTGCATCTCCCTCATCATCAATGTTTCTAGCTTTCCCTCTCCCTTGCTCTCTGAAATCAGTAAAAATGTATTTTAACAAAGAAAACATCCTATGACTACCCCAGGATCAACCGCCACCAGATGAACTTTGTGGGACAACTGACCTCATCCTCATTCCCAAGTCCTGCACCCATGCCAAAGTAAGCCATCTACAAGAACTTCCCGTTTTCTGATCGAATCCCTTGTGCACAAGCTCTTTTCAATAAACTCCGTCTGCTTGATCTTGTACTGAATTCAGTGCTCATTTCTATGAAATTGAGGCTCGAGAATCTGGCATTCAAGGTCCAGTAACGTATGTATGATAGAAAATTACAAATAACACCATATTCCCAACACTCAGAGGTTACTCCTGTGTATAAGGTGGTATTCTGTGTGTGTGTGCGTTTTTAGTAAGACGGGATCTTACAGTACATACTCTTGTAACTTGATTAATCTTCATCTCTCTGACTATATTTTCATCTTATCTAATACACAATCAATACTTTTCCATCTGTTCCAAAATGTTCTTCATAGGACAAAGCAGAATCCATTTCAGGACCATGCATTTCATCTGGTTGTGTTCTTTAACTCTCTTTAATTCAGAATAGTACTCTTTTTTTTTTTTCATGTCACTGCATTAGTCAGGATTCCACACTAGTCCTACACAATGTCCTGTCTTCATGGTTTGTGTGATCACCTCATCTTCTTGTTTACCTTATTCTTTTACACTGAAGGATGTAAAGAAATAAGGTGCAAGTTATCCCTATGGAATTCATAGTTTGTTTAAAATATATTTTTATTGATTTCAGAAAGGAAGGGAGAGGGAGAGAGAGATAGAAACATCAATGATTAGAGAGAATCATTGATGGGCTGCCTCCTGCATGCCCCCCACTGGGGATCAAGGCCGCAACCCAAGCATGTGCCCTTGACCAGAATCGAACCTGGGACCTTTCAGTCCACAGGCCAATGCTCTATCCACTGAGCCAAACCGACTATGGCTTGTTTTCTTAATTTGTATTTATCTATTTTAGAGAGAGAGGGAGAAAGAAACATCGATTTGTTCCACTTATTTATGAATTCATTGGTTGATTCTTAAAAGTGCTCTGACCAGGATCAAACCAAAAACCTCGGCGTATCAGGATGATGCTCTAACCAACTGAACTACCCAGCCAGGGCAAGAGTTCATAGTTTCAAGTTAGTATTTCAGGCTAACACACATTATATTGTATCACATCAGATGACTTAAAATAAAGGTGTCTGACTCTAAGTGGTACCCTAAGATTGACCATGATTGATGACAGGCTGGTCCTACCTTTGTATACTTTTTTATACTCTTGTCCCCTTTGTGACGAGAAACTAATCTGGATGACATTACTTTGGCTCAAAGAGTGAAGTTGAAATGTGGACTAGTAGCATTCTTTTCTTTTTTTGTTAATCCTCACCTGAGAATATTTTTCCATTGATGTTTTAGAAAGAGTGGAAGGGAGAGGGCAAGACAAAGAAACATCGATGGTGATATTTTATTATTATTTTGGTTAATCCTCACCTGAGGATATTTTTCCATTGCTCTTTTAGAGAGGAAAAGACAGAGAAAACCATCGGTGTGAGAGAAACACATTGATTGGTTGCCTCCTGCAGGAGCCCTGACCAGGGCCAGGGAGGAGCCTACAACCAAGGTATGTGCCCTTGACCGGAATTGATCCCGGGACCCTTTGGTCCGGAGGCTGATGCTCTATCCAGAGCCAAACTGGATAGGGCAGTGATGTCTTATTTTAACCTCTCCTTCTAACTTATTAACTAAAATGTTTTTATGAAGACAAAATTTGGCCATCAATTTTATTATCTTGAGGTACAACTGGTTTTATTCAAACCTCCCACTTTTCTGTTTGTTTTCAACAGTTTTCATAATAATAATTTGGCTCCGTAGCATCTTCTAAAAGTAACCAGTGAAACTTTGTTTTGGGGGGTTGTGTGTGTATGCATGTTTGGTTGTGGTTGTCATACTCATGGATTTATTCATTTTGATTTGTTTTAGTCCATTGCAGTTAACATTCTTATTGTAGCTTGAATTATCTTTGGCCAGTAGGAGCCTCTTCAAGTTGACTCCTGAGATCTTTAGACACAACTCCTGTTGTCTCTGATAATTTATTTCCTTCTGGTATGACAAGGAACCCCCAGTTAATCTTTTACATTTCCTGTCCCAAACTGAGAATGAGCCTTATTCTAAGAAGCCCTGGTTCCTTTAGTATTTGAAGACCAGAATCTCAGTCTTAGGGGTGCCAGGACAACTGTGTTGGTCATTGTTGAAAAAGAGATACTAAATTCATTTTTCTTGTATTTTATCCTAAGATAAAGTACATCATGAGTTTATACTGTTGCATCTAGTTCACACTCAAAAATAGAATGTTTACTTAACCTTATTGGTCTTACATCTCTATCTTCTTTCTCCCATAGTGAAGATCCTGGTTCTCAATGACGTCCATGCCATTTCTTATTACTTTGCCCCACAATATAGTGTGGGGAGCTGATACAGGGTTAAGCCTCAGACTGACTTGTGGGCAAAGTCACAAACAATTCCCAGCTTAGAGGGCACAGTCCTCTTAGCATAATTAGGCTTGACCTTATGAGGCTCTCTAGATCTTACCTGGGAAGCTAATGGGCTGAGGGAAATGCAACAAGAACAAAAACAAGTGAAACTCACAAGAACAGTGTAA